GGCCATTTCATAAGCTTTACAGTGGAGTCCAAAGACGGGGGGTGTGTGCATGCATCAAGAGTGCATGGAGGTCTCAGGGAAAAAAAAAATCAGAACTTATCTATGTGTTTATTTTAGCTTTACTGAATTTTTATTAGGTTATTTTATAATGTACACTATATATTACAGTAGTACAAACACATATGAATATATATATATTGGGACATATACTCAAATTCTTGTTGGGGATTCAAATCAAAAAACATTTGGAAACCACTGATTTTATTTGATATTTAGCATTTGTATCAAATATGTAAGGTATTGTGCTAATCATTTGTTCCTGCATTGGAAGTTTAGTGAAGTTCAGTGTAATTCCACATAATCAGGAGAGTGTTTCATATTTTTTTTTAAACTTTTAGTTTACTTGAGAGATTGTGCACATGAGGAGGGGAGGGGCAAAGGGAGAAGCCAATTCCCCGCTGAGCCAGATGTAGGGCTTCATCCCAGGAGATCATGAGATCTCTGAGATCTGGGATCACGACCTGAGCAGAAGGCAGATGCTTAACCGACTGAGCCACCCAGGTGCCCCAAGAATGGTATTTCATATTAATAACCAATTATAAATTATTTTAAAAATTGCAGTCACAATTTTGTGAAAGAGGATCTAGTATTTTAATAGTCTTTATGTCTCAAGCAGCAGTCTTAAATTTGGAGCTATAATGACTGATATATCCCTTTTGAAATTAAAATTTTGTTGAACCTTGGGCGCCTGAGTGGCTCAGTTGTTGAGCGTCTGCCTTCGGCTCGGGTCATGATCCCAGGGTCCTGGGATCGAGCCCCGCATCGGGCTCCCTGCTTCGTGGGAAGCCTCCTTCTCCCTCTCCCACTCCCCCTGCTTGTGTTCCCTTTCTCGCTGTGTCTCTCTCTGTCAAATAAATAAAATCTTTAAAAATAAATAAAATTTTGTTGAACCTCTTCTATTTTAAACCTGTTAATGTCAGTCAGAAATAAAAGAGACTAAAATAATCAGTTAACGTAAATGTGGTAGTTGTAATAGTCATATTTGTGCTGTTAACTTTATTTTTAAGATTTCATTTATTTATTTGACAGAGAGAGACACAGCAAGAGAGGGAACACAAGCAGGGGGAGTGGGAGAGGGAGAAGCAGGCTTCCTGTGGAGCAGGGAGCCCGATGCGGGGCTCGATCCCAGGACCCTGGGATCATGACCTGAGCCGAAGGCAGACGCTTAAAGAGTGAGCCACCCAGGTGCCCCTGTGCTGTTAACTTTAGAGTATTTGCAAATCTTAGATGATATTTAGATATATTGAAATTCCAAATATGTTGATTCTTTACAAACGAGATTGGATTTTCTTCAGGTCACTCCACAGCAGTTGTTGGTATGTTGTATCAAAATAAGCAATTCCAGAATTCTACCTAACTTAAAAAATATCTTACATTCTCTTCCAGCTTATTTCACAATTGAATAGATTAGTGTTTGTTCAGGAGTTCAGGTTAAAATAACAGAAAGGGATTTGAGCAAGAAATATATTCTCCTCGCTAGACACGTGAGACATTATTCATACCAGTGGTTCTCAGGCTTTAGTGTGAATTAGAATCACCTTGTTTTAATCCTACTTCACTAGAGTCTCTGACTCTGTAGGTCAGAGATAGACCTTGGAATTTGAATTTCAAGCAAGTTCTCAGGCTGCTGCTGCTGGTCTACGGAACCATGAGCCAGGGCTCCATATAAGCACACCTGAAACCAGAGCACGATGCCAGTACTTACATGTTTCACACTGAATCCCATCAGCATCAGTCAGTCGGATGTTACAGTTTTGCCAAGTACATAACTGGCTCTTGTTTTTAGACAGTTCCCCTTATTTTTAAAAGATGTCATAATTAAGATTTCATTCTCAGTGATACTACTATTTATATTTTTTTGCTGCAATACTGTATTTCTAAATTTCTTGAGGAGTTAGAAGTGTTTTTTGTTTTTGTTTTTAATACCAGTTGTCCGTGTTGAAGAACAATGAATAGGCAGGCGTGCACACGCACAGTTTTTATCTGTAATCACAGTGGTGACCACTAGCAGGCTTCATTCTTGCTCATTCTCTTGTTCCCTCTCTTTATAATGGGATCATACTGTTTTGTATCCATTTTCTGTTACGTGTAAACATCTTTTTCTGTAAAACACTATTCTGCATCATTTTTGTTTTTTTAAAACTTAAAATCTCATTTATTTCTACATTTCCCAAAAACTTGATTCTTTGAGCAGCTTGTTGTGTTTGGCTGTGGGCTTGGGCTGCACCTTTCAGAAGACTGCACTGTCACTCAGAAAGTCTCCAGTCGTGGCCCTCCTCAGTAGTCTTCAGTATATCCCCTGCTCTCATGATCTTCCCCAAGCTGGCCTACCCAGCCCTTCTCCCCTACCAGCTCACGTTGATGCCGCCTCGTCTCCATGGGTGATGACGTCCCTTCTTCCAGTCTGAGCCCTGGTTGGGTTTGGACAGGCATTCTGATTTGTCATCCCTGCGACAGTGACTATTGGAAACACCAAGACCTACCTTTAGCAAGCAACAGGAATGAGTTGCATCTCATTCCTGTCAGGAAGGATAATCTTGAATTCTTCTCCCAGATACCATCCGAAGCTCAATTGAGAGAAAGAACATTCATCAGACTGTGCTGGAAGGTGTTTTAATGCTTATGTTCCAGGCAATGTGCTGGAAGGTGTTTTAATGCTAATGTTCCAGGCAATGTTCCAGACTCAGTGTCTTTGAGTGAAGCCAGATCATTAGGAAGCAGCATAATTCTGGCCCCTCTTCCAGCTTTTTAGTAAACTGACTTTGCATGGCCCCATCGGCTTGCATTGAGATCTATCTGAGGAGTCCCCAAGAAAATCTGTGAGGCCAGTTAGAAATTTCTTCAGGTTCAGTACCTGGAGTAGTCGACTGTGCCTCTCCTAAGCCACTGCTTTGATTTTGTCTAAAGTATACCGTGAACTATGTCAATATTGGTTCTCTCTCTGTGTTGGCTATTAGGGAGCTCAGAGTCCCGTTTGTGTTCAGAGTTCTATGGCTTGTGCTTTTAAGATTACTTTTGGCTTATAATATATGTTCTGTTTAATGGCTACTTATTTTGCTCTTTCAGATTTTACCATAAAATATAGAACACATTTCATCCCTGTTCTAAAGATTACTGTGGTTATATTGTGACCAAATGTGTATTCCCATCCTATTGCCTTTCTTCCACCGGAATTCCTCCTAACCCTGTCTTCCCCTGTCTCCTCCTGTGTACTCATTCTTTGTTGTTGTTGTTGAATCTATTGTGGTAAATACACATAAAACTTACCATGTTAATAATTGTAACTGTACAGTTGAACGGTATTAAATACATAATATGCAACTGTCACAATCATCATCACAACCATCCTTCTCTGTTCCTCTTTTCATCTTGCAACCCTGGAACTCCGTGCCCAACTCCGTGCCCATTTAACACCAACTACCCATTCCTTCCTTCCCCCTGCCCCTGGCAACCACCATTCTACTTCCTATCTATGATTTTGTCGACTCTAAGTACCTCATGTGAGTGGAATCATATGGTATTTGTCTTTTTGTGACCGGCGTGTTTCATTTAGCATGCTGTCCTCATGGTTTATCCATGTTATAGCGTGTGTTAGAATTTCCTTCCTTTTTAAAGCCGAATAATAGTCCGTGGAATTTATATATCACATTTTGTCTATCCATTTATCCATGATGGACATTTGTGTTGTTTCTACCTTTTGGCTAGTATGAATAATGCTGCTGTGGACATGGGTGTACAAATATTTGTTCAAGTTCCTGTTTTCTGTTTTGGGTATATACATAAGTGGAATTGATTATATGGTAATTCTGTGATTAATTTTTTAAGGCACCACCATACTGTTTTCCACGGTGTTTTACAGTCTCACCAGCAATACACAGGGTTCCAATTTCTCTACATCCTTGCCAACACTTGTTATTTTCTGTTTTGTTTTGTTTTTGTTTTTTGATGGTAGCCATCCTAGTGGGTGTGAGATGGTATCTCATTGTAGTTTTGATTTGCATTTCCCTAATGGGTGGTGATGTTGAGCATCTTTTCATGTGCTTGTTAGCCATTGGTGTATCTTTGGAGAAATGTTTATTCATTTTACATCAGATTGTTTTTTGTTGCTGTTGAGTCTTAGGAGTTCTCTATGTATTCGGGACAGTAATCTCTTTATCAGATACTTGATTTGTAAATATTTTCTGTGTGCTGCCTTTTTACTCTGTTGATAGTGTCTTTGGATGCACACAATTTAAAAATTTTTATGAAGTCCAATTTGTTTTTTTTCTCTTTTGTTGCCTGTGTTCTTGGTGTCATATCCAAGAAATCATTGCTAAGTCCAATGTCATTGAAACTTTTGCCCTATTTTTTTTTTTTAAGTAATCTCTGCACTCAGTGCAGGGCTCGAACTCATGACCCTGTGATCAAGATTTGCATGCTGTACCTGCTGAGCCAGCCAGGCATCCCCTGCCCTGTGTTTTCTTACAAGAATTTTATAGTTTTCCGTCTTAAGTTTGGGTCTTTGAACTTTTTTTTTTTTTAATAATTTCTACACCCAAAGTGGGGCTCAAACTCACAACCCTCAGATCAAGAATCACATGCTCTTCCATCTGAGCCAACCAGGTGCCCCAGGTCTTTGAATCTTGTGTATTCAATCTTGCTAAATTTTGTAAGGGGATAAATTCTTTTTTCTCTTTTGGCACATTCTGAAGGACTTCCTTGTTTATTAATGTTCATTGTGGTAAAATTCAAATATATACAAAAGCAGAGAGCAGTGAGCCTTTGTGTGTCTGTCACTCAGTTCTATCATTTACTCATTAACTTGGGGCACACTTGCTTCATCCATATTCTCTTCTCTTCCTCTTTTTATATTTTTCTTTTTTTTCTTTCTAAATTATTTGATGAATTTTTTTGTGCTAAAATATACATAACAAAATTTACCATTTTAACCATTTTTAAAAAAATATATGGAATGCTTCACAAATTTGTGTGTCATCCTTGCTCAGGGGTCATGCCAATCTTCTCTCTGTCGTTTCAGTTTTAGTAGTGTGTGCTGCCGAAGTGAGCACCATTTTAACCATTTTTAAGTGTACCATTTTGGTGGCATCAGATAGATCCATAGTGTTATACAACCATCACCACTGTCCATTTCCAGGTTTTCATCATTCCAAACAGAAACTCTGTACTCATTAAACAGCTTCTCATTCTCCCCTCCCCCAAACCCCTGGCAACCACTACTCTACTTTCTGTCTCTGAATTTGCCCATTCTAGGTCCCTTGTATAAGTGGAATCATATTATGCTTGTCCTTTTGTACGTGGCTTATTTCACTTAACACAGTGTTTTCAGTGTTCCTCCATGTTGTAGCATGTATCAGAATTTCATTCCTTTTTCGGGTCAAATAATATTCTCTTGTATGTATATCCACATTTTACTTATCCCTTCATCTGTCAGTGAACATTTGGATTATTTCTCCCTTTTGCGTGTTGTGAATAATGCTGTTATAAACATGAGTATACAGGCATCGGTTCAAATCCCTACTTTCAGTTCTTTGGATATATACCCAGGGAGGAATCGCTGGATCATTTGGTAATTCTGTGTTTTGCTTTTTGAGGAACTGCCAAACTATTTCCCACAGCAGCTGCCCCATTTTATATTCTATCAGTAATGCACAAGAGTTCCCGGTTACTTCACATCCTTACCAACACTCATTTCCCATTTTCATTTGTTTGTTTTTATTTTTTAATAAGAGCCATCCTAGTAGTTGTGAAGTGGTATCTCATTAGGGTTTAATTTGCATTTCCCTAATGATTAGTGATGTTGGGCATTTTTTTATGTGCCTATTGGCCATCTGTATATCTTCTGTAGAGAAATGTCTGTTCAAGTCCTTTGCCCATTTTTGAATAGGGTTGTTTGTTTTTTTGTTGCCAGGTTATAAAAGTTCTTTATTCTGGATATTAATTCCTTATTAGATATGATTTGCAAATACTTTTTCCCATTCTGTGGGTTGTCTTTTCACTCTGTTGGAAGTTTCCTTTGTTGCACAAAAATTAGTAATTTTTTGAGGTCCAGTTTGTTTTTTTGTGTTGTTTTTTTTTTTGCCTCTGTTTTTGGTGTCATATCCACGAAGTCCTTTTTAAATCCAGTGTCATGAAGCTTTTACCCTACTTTCTTTTAAGAGTTTTATAGTTTTAGGGACGCCTGGGTGGCTCGGTCGGTTAAGAATCTGTCTTCAGCTCAGTGGGGTCCTGGGATCAAGCCTAGTGTGCGCTCCCTGCTCAGTGGGAAGCTTGCTTCTCCCTCTCCTCTCCCTGCTCATGCTTTCTCTCTCATTCTCTCTCTCCCGAGTAAATAAAATAAAATAAAATAAAAAGAGTTTTTTAGTTTTAGCTCTTTGTTTAGGTCTTTGATGCATTTTGAATTTTTGTATGTGATGTAAGGGTTCAACTTAACTGTTTTGCATAGTGACTCTCCAGTTTTCCCAGCACCGTTTGTTGAAAAGATTGTGCCAAGGAGAAGGGCTCCAGTTGAACCTAATCTATACTCTCTTGTTTGCAGTTCTTCCCCTCACAAACAGTGCTTTTGCACATCTGTGTTGGGAATGGAGACATTTTCCATGCAGCATTTGTATTAAAAACTTTTGAGACAGTAATAAAAAAGAGACTCATCACACCGCCACTTTGGGGTAAGCTGTCAAGGACCATGGTGCTCTCCAGCAGGCCACACATCTGTCAGGAAGCCAGGCGAGGTGCCTCCGTGCTGTGTGGATGTGGATGAGGTCGCCCCTGTGTAGCTGGGAGCTGGTGGCTGGCCCTAGCCAGGCTCCTGTCAGCACCTGCTGGGACTGAGACTGAGGCCACCCTCTGCCTGGGCCAGAGCTCTTGTGAAATGACAGGGCTGTCCCATTGGGCTCTTGGGTTGTTTCTAGCCTTTTTTTTTTTTTTTAAAGATTTATTTATTTATTTTAGAGAGAAAGTGGGCAGGCGGGGGTGGGACAGAGGGAGGGAGAGAGAGAGAATCTCAAGCAGACTGCCCGCTGAGCATGGGGCATGGAGCCTGCCATGGGGCTCTCACAACCCTGAGAACATGACCTGAGTTGAAATCAAGAGTTGGACACTTAACTAACTGAGCCACCCAGACGCCCCTGTTTCTAGCTTTGGAACAAATTCTTTTCCCATATTCTTAGCAGGAGTCAGTTCATTCTCTTTGTTAGTCATTCCTGCCCAGTTCAAGAGGGAATAAGAATGTAGGTAGCTGGCATTGTGGAAGAAAATCTTTAATATATTTGTTGATGTCCAATTGTGAAGAGGGTCGGCATCATGTACTTGGTTATTTGTGATGACCATCGCAACCAGTTAATATAATTTTGTCTTCCCTTCAATCTGGGTGTTGCTGTGCCATCCCAATTATTATTTTGTTTAAGGTTTTATTTATTTAAGAGAGCATGCGCACACAGCGTGAGAGCACGAGCAGGGGGAGCCAGCAGGGGGAACAGCAGGTAGGGGGAGGGAGGGGGCTCAATCCCCGGACTCCCAGGTCATGACCCGAGCCGAAGGCAGATGCTTAACCGAATGGACCACCCAGGCACCCCCAATGATTATTCTAAATGTGGCAGTAATTGTCGTCTTGAATATATGTATTTTCAGGCTTCAAATTCTCTGAAATCAGCTTTCATTCATGAATTGAAACTTCTTTCTCTTTTTAGTACTTTTAATTTGTTCTGCTGGGCATTGTTCTGGCTTATTTGGCTAATTTTGATGCTTACAGAAGCCGAATTTCCTGTCCTAATCATTGGTCCACTTTACAAAGCAACTTTCAGGAAAATCTTTCCTCCAAGGATGAACTGTTTACACCAGTGGACTAGTTTAGCATAGTGAACAGGCCTGCAGTGACTTTCCGCTCGGCACCAAATGAGGTGCTGCGTGCTCTAGGGAACACAGAGGTGATTCAGCAGTGACCTTTTTCCCAAAGAAACCACAGTCAATCAGAGGAGGCTGAAAGAGTCAGAAAGAATACAGGCATGATGGAAATACACGGTTCCAGAAGCTCAGAGAAGAAGGCTGCTGCTTCTACAGGGAAGCGTTCATTATTTTTAATTTTAGCTTTTCACTGCAATAATAGATTCACGTGGCATAAAATTCAAAAGGAACAACAGAGTATACACGGGAAAGTTTCCCTTCCATCTTGCCCCTGGCCACCACTTCCTCTCCCCAGAGGCAGCCAGTGTTACCAGTTCTCCAGTGTCTGTTCAGGGATGTTCTTTGCATAATACAGACCAACACACAGAGAGCTCTTTTCTTTTACATGAAAGCACACTATATCCCTTGCTTTTTTCTGTTTGTGATAGTTCATTATCAATACATAAGAGCTTTCTCATTGTCTTTCACAACTGGATAATATTCCATTGTCAGGATGTATCTTTATTTAGCCAGAGCTCCATTGATGGACATATAAGGTGTTGTAAATTTTGCTAGTGCAGAAACACTGAGTAACCTTCTGTATGCATCATTTGAGGCATGGCCAAGTGCATCTATCTGGTCACTTACCAGAGGTAGGATTGCTGGGTTGGTGGGTATGTGCTTTTGTAAAATTGTTAGCTCTTACCAGAAAGACCTCTGTACAGGTTTTGTCCACCTGTGCTCCTTAGCTGTGTGTGGCTGTGCCTGTTTATCCACACCCTCACTGGCACTGTGATAGCACATAGTTTGATCTTTGCCAGTTTGATAGGGGAAAAAATTATTTCTTTGTGTATATTTTTTCTTCCAAAACTTAGTTTACCCTCTAGAAAAGTAAAGAGAGTAATAGAGTGAACACTCATATCAGGGGTTGTTTGAATTTGTAGCACTCCTGTTGCTATAAGGTTGAAGGACCATTTCCATTTTCTTTGCCTATTTTTCTTTAGGGCTTTGGTTGATTTTGTAAAAATGGTTTATATATGAAGGAATTTAGCACTTTGTTCGTGATATAAATTGCAGTTATATTTTTCCAGATTGTGATTTCTTTTTATTTAGGATGGTTTTGTCATGAAAAAGAAATTGGTTCTGGGGCACCTGGGTGGCTCAGTCGTTAAGCATCTGCCTTTGGCTCAGGTCATGATCCCAGGGTCCTGGGATCGAGCCCCGCATCGGGCTCCCTGCTCAGCGGGGAGCCTGCTTCTCCCTTTCCCACTCCGCCTGCTTGTGTTCCCTCTCTCGCTGTTTTTCTCTGTCAAATAAATAAATAAAATCTTTAAAAAAAATTGGTTCTTTATTGGGTCATTCATTGAACTTTTAAGGCTTCTGGGTTCTCTGTCATACCTAGAAAGATCTTCCCTATTAGAAGAGTATGCAAAATTCCCCTATGGTTTTTTAAAGTACTTTTTAAATTTCATTATTTACCTTTATATCTTTTATCCATTTGGAATTTATTTTGGTGAGAAGTGTGAGCCCAACTTAATTTTTTCCCAAATGGGCCACCCATTTGTTGCAAAACCTTGTAATAAGCAATTCATCCTTCCTCCCAGTTGTTCAAATGTCCTTTACTATATGTGATATACCTTGCCACATGCCATATACATTTGGGTCTATTTCTGGACTTTCTGTTCTGCACATTAATCTGTGTATTTATGTTTGAGTACACATTGTTTTAATTACTCCGGCTTTAGAGCATGTTTTGATATTTGGTAAAGTTAATTATCATTCATTACCTTTAATTTTCAGGACTTTCCTGGCTATGTTTGTTTTTCTATATGAACCTTGAGATAAATCTGCCTGTTTCAGAAAAACTCATTTTTGTTTTTATTGGCTCTGTGTTACATTTTTAGGTTAATGTAGGAAGAGTGATATTTAGGTGATGAGTCTTCCCCACTAAGATTGTATGCCTTACTCTTTGCTTGAGTCTTCTTTCATGTCCCTCAGAGTTTGAGAGGTTTCTTGGCATTTCTTGTTTTATTCTCAGATCTTTTTTCTTTGTTTTTAGTGTTGTTGAAGCATTTTATCTTCTACTTGTTGATGTATGTGAAGGCACGGATTTCTGTATATTAATTTTCACTACCTTACCTGATTATAAAGCGGTAAAGGTTTTCAGTTGATT